GGGGGGGATTGGTTGAGTTGGCATCGCAGTGCATTGTGGGACTGTCTTAGGGGACGCCATCTTGAATTCCGTTAGACCCCTTCACAGTTCCCTGCGCCATCTTGAAAGAAAGCCGTGCCTTTGCATCGAAGCGAGACGAACGGTGAGCTTGCAGTGATAGAGACGTGAATAATTGTCCAAGGTGTCAAAATAAGGTCTCTATCATTGCAAGCTCACCGTTCGTCTCGCTTCGATGCAAAGGCACGGCTACCTTTCGAGATGGCGCAAGGAACTGTGAAGGGGGCTATTGACCTCTTTAGCTGGGCGTAATGTTTTTCCATTTCTGCCCACGTATCATTCCCGAGAGTATCGTTTCTTTGTTTAACGAGCTGCGCATGAGAAGACACATGAATATAGATACAAATCAAACAAATAATTTTATTCTCAACGGAATGACAAGTGGTCTGAAATGGAGAAACATTTCGCCCAAGGTAAAGAGGCCTATAGACCGTTTTCTCAAGGTTGCGTGCGCATCCAAATTTAAGGAACTTGACGGTCCACGACACCAGAACACGAGTATTAACACAAGCTATGATTTTTTTTCGATAAGAATCTATAAAATCGATTATTCTCCTCTTTAAATATAAAACTGCCTTCTCAATTTTACTGACTTTGCGTTTTTCAGTTTTGTGGCCCATCAAATTGGATGCGCACGCAACCTCGAGAAAACGATCTATTGGACATAGAAGTTGATTTTTTTAAAACCAATGATACTGTGAAAGCTTACTAATGATACTGGTTCTTCGTCTACTGTAACCTGTAGAGATGGTGGAGAGTTGGACTTCAAGCCGAATGCACCAATAGTAATCCTAAAAAGAGTGAAAACAATTTGTGGTGCATCGAGAAAGTACTAAAATCTCTAAAACTGAAAGAGTTGGATTTTTTTAGAGCAGTAATGGATGGAAACGTACGGTACTGGCTTAAAAAATACGACATGCCGTAACATTTTTTTATGCAGGTTTTTTTTTTTTTCACTCTTTAAAGCTGTGCTCGAATTTTTTTCCCAAATCCCCACCCCCCAATCTAATCTAACGGTCCGTCCCTTAACACTCTCGTTTCCAGACCCTACTCTTTGGCCAAATCGTAGGCTCTGGGAAAAGTGCGCACCGTCAGCTCCCTGGAAGACAAGCTGCTAGCTGAAGGAACACCGACGTTAAATAAGGCATTTAGACTAAGGTCAGACTTCGAACTTCACATGAGCCGAACCTAAAGACATCATAGAAGACCGCCTTGTTATCCATTGTTTCAATTAAGTTCGGCTCGGATGAGGTTCGACGTTTGACCTGAGCCTTCCTTCCTTATTTAAGAACTCCTCATTATCATTATGCTCTTTTACTCCGACGAAGAACTAGCGTCCGAAACGTCAGTAAGTTTTTTCATCTTTTCATGGTGTAAAATTTACCCTTTTATCATTACTGTTTCATTAGAAACACCGACGCAGCTCAAACTAGTTTTTAGCTAGCTATCTCTTATTATTATGATTAGTTATGCGTACCTACCAGTAACACCCAGCAGTCGTTACTACAACGTAGGGTTTATTTCTCTCCCAAACAAACATTCTTGGCTCGGAATTAATGAGTTGCGCTACGAAGCTGATGTCATCAGCGTGATACCCATTGACGCACGAATGGCCTTTTGGGTAGACGCTTGACACACCACCCCAACGCCATCTGCAACGACAGGATTGAAATAGTAGGTTATCAACAAGTTTTTTTCTGTCCTTCTGACAGGAATCATAACTTCGAGTTCTAAATTACCGCTGTAATTCATGATTACAGACTCATTTACTCATTTACTTAGCCTCGTATTTCAGCCTCTCAATAGAGCGCATGCAGTAAAACCATGAAATAAAACAAAGTTGACATTGACAAATAGCACTATTTAGGCCCCGTCCACACGTATCCGCAAATTGTTTTTTGCGGATAAGGGTTGCGTCCACACGTGTCCGCAAATTTTTGTGTCCGTATCCGCAAATTTTACGAAAACGGATACGTGTGGACGGTGAAAACGATTCGAATACGCTTCGTGTGGACGCAAACATTTTCGTATCCGCAAAAAATAATTTGCGGATACAAAAATTTCTGGATACGTGTGGACTGGGCCTTAGTGAGTAATAGTTGCTATCCCTCAACCAAAACATTTATCACACAAAGACAAATACGCAAGAGACCATTTGTGTCTTTGTGTAATGAATGTTCTGGTTGAGTGATAGATGTTACATGTTAGATGGCAGGAACAATACAATCATTTTACATAAGAAAGAATTCAATCCCAATAGCAAAGGAATAGCCCACTTCAGAGATACGCTTCGCTTGTCAAGTACAAAGGTTTCAGTATGAGGCTCTGTGCTAAATGCTCAGTCATTCGTGACAAGATAAAAGAATAACTTGAATTTAGCACCTAGCCTCCAACTGAAACCATTTTACTTGACAAGCGAAGCGTATCTCGGAAGTGGGCTATTTTATTGTTCTGCCATATAACCACAGGAAGCCCAAGCAGTATTATGGGCACCGACACGTGATGGTGCAAAACCTCTATAATTGCATGGATGCTGGCAAGGGATTCATTCTACAACACTAAATGAAATTTTTTCAAAACGTGTATGGTTCTTCAATAACACAATTTTGAAGGTTATTAAGCGGTTTTGGTTCACGCGCAGATCGTGGGCTCAAATCGAATGTTCAGAAGTAGGCAGTCACCTTAGATACTGCAGTTTTCTTGGTGAAGATATAAAATATAATGGAAATTGGAAATATATACTAACCTGCCATGATGAGGAAATGTTACATTAAGGGAATTCATTTTCTTGTCCAGCGATGCGAAGGAATGATGAAGGGACGAGTTGATTTCTGACTAAAACAAGTGTGAGAAAAATAGCGTTAAATCTCATCTATGGCATTTTATTTGAAAATCTTTGGAAACAATCAACACGTAATACGCATGCGCAGGAAGTCATAAAAATCTAAGTCAAAAGAAAAACAAAGTTCAGACTCGCACCCAGAGCCTGCGTTTCTTCTGGCCTGCGGCGAAGAACGAGGGCTCTGACATAATTCATTTTTTGGCGCATGCGCAATTTTCCGAAGTGAAATATAGAATCAATGGAAATCATGCTTCAAACAGACTTCTGTATTTACTTCCCATCAAAATAAAAATTAGAAATTGGGAACATATATATATATATACGTATATATATTGGCAAGTCTTTGTACGCATGCGCTCTTATACCGGAAGTCCAAGAAATCCTGGTCTCAAAGATAGATCATGCCAGAGCCCTCGCTCTTCGTCGCAGGCCAGAAGAAACGCAGGCTCTGGGTACGAGATTGGCCAAAGTTTTACCGCTAAGCCACGACCTTGTCTCGTTTTTTATTATAGTCTTTCTTCGTTTTAAGCCTCAAGAACACGAGAAAGCCCGGGGGGAGATGGGACAAGCATACAGTTTGTATATACCGCCACCACCTTGTCTCGTCTTTTACTATAGTCTTTCTTCGTTTTAAGAGCACGAGAAAGCCCGGGGGAGATGGGACAAGCATACAGTTTGTATATACCTGTTTATTAAGAGCAGAATGCATTTCTTTGAGTGCAGTTTTCCAACCAGTCACGTCTTCTCGGTCCAGTAGCTGCTCGGCCACCAGTGATACAAGCTCTTCGTCGCTTCGTTTACTAGTCACGTGATGTCTGTACATGTTGGTGTCCTGTTTGACTTGATACACCTCATCATCGAGTTTGTTTAGGTCTGAATAAGATATGGAATATGTAAGGAAACTGAGGATTGTCTTCATCATGGAAGTCCGAATCTTGTTAAAAGAAAACACTTGGGTCTGTGCTTATACAAACCTTTTTCAATTACTCGAAGTTCGTTTTGTTGTTCATTGAACTGCAAACAACAACATTTTAGGCACTTAGTATAGCAGGGATAGCCATAACCTTAACCTTATAATAAATCACGCTTACTGATTGGTTGGGAGCGCTTGCATTATGAGAGCAACAGCGCACGCGCGCGCTTTTTATTTCGTCTTCCGTGTCCAAAATAACGGCTTCTTTAATTCGTATCTTATAACAGAAATGAGAAAATTGATGCTAATGAGAAATCTTTTGTAAATAGCACCAACATGGCCGCGATGACGTAACGTGCAAGTGAAGAATACTCGGGAGGTAATAGTTGTGAGTTTGGAGGTTAAACAGACAATCTACTTTACCTGTGCTGTCAATGAATCCAACTCAACGCTGAATTGTGCGGCTGTGTCCTGTGTTTCACCTTTAAAATTAAATTATAGAATAATTGAAATAAATCGCGTGCTCTGATTGGTCAATAGACCCCTTGCAGCACGTCGGAATGCAGCTCATTTGGAGGACATAACAATGGGTTTCCAATTCTCAGGAGATTGAAATTCTTTTGTTTTGTCCTCCAAATTTAGCTGCTTTGACGTCACATGCAAGAGTTCAATTACTGTTTTCTGAGGAATAGACCCCTTGCACTGGGTCCCAAGAGGGATTGTTCTGATGTACGAAACAACAGATGTTTTTGCATAAGAAAAGACGGCCTATTGTTTTGTCCCACAGAACAATTCTCTTACATCTGTGAGCAGTGGAGGACTTTACGGGCTGCATATTAAGGCGCTATTAGCAGTCGTGCAGCTTACAATCATGAGTGATTTGTTAGTACATTAATGTTATGCCTCTAGACAGGGATAGGCTGTTGAACCGGGAAACAATCCCCTACTCTTACACGAATAATTCAACAGGTTCTTTATGTCCCCCATTATACTGCAAGTTAGGAAGGGTTGGCCTACGGTTTTAAGTCCTTGTCCGAGAGGACTTGAAGATCTAACCATTTACAGCTATTATTACAAAGGCAGCATCTTCTCCTCAGTTACTTTAAGACCCTAAGTGTTGGCTTGAACCACGACCGCCCGCACAACAGAACGACGCTCTTACCAACTGAGCTAACCAACGTGGCGTGATGTCTTACCCTTTGGGGAACTCTTGACCTCCACTCTAGTGGTTATGTCATCGTACAACTCGATTATCTTCCTGTCAAAGTGTGCGAACTGGAAAAAAAAAGTGAAAATGAAAAAAAAATTTGGAAGAAATAGTAAGAGCAAGGAACAAACGCAAGGCATGGACGCAAAAAACGACCAGCCAATGAAGGCGCACACTGTGAAGTGAAGCTTTTATTTCAAGAGAGAAACACCTAAAAGTGAAACACTTATAAACTTATGGCCCTCAAATATAAAATTAAAATAAAATTTAAAAAATCCTATATAAATATATACAGTAGATATTAATTAGCTAGATACTTGAGCACGCGATACTGTTGACAGCGCTAGCGCATGCGTCGGAAAAGATGTATCGGCTTTCCCGTTTTGCGGAAAACTGGTAGCAGGTATCGCGGGGCTATAACTAACCCAATCTCGTACCCAGAGTCCCCGCTGATGAAAAAGCCGAAAGATTCTGGGCTCGAGATTGAAAAAAAAGACAAACTCAATCTAATGTGGTACTTAAGCTACTAGTTTCATACCCGTTCATCCATCTTGGCCAAGAGTCGGTTTTCCAGTATGTCAATGTCTTCCATATGTTGAGACTGACTCACTTTATCGCAAGTACTAAAGAACAAACGAAACCATTAGAAAAAAAATAAAAGGTAGCCTCCTTCGCAGGCGTCTCTTTGCTCTTTTCCCGGGGGGGGGGGGGTACTCTTGCCCGTTTAGGGTAGGGATGTGCCACTGAGCCCTCTGAATCCTGACCCTGTTCCAGAGTAAAATCTGTGAAATTTATACCCTGGTCCAGAGTAGAATCGCTGAAAACCATACGCTGTTTGGCGGCACGTACCCGTATAGCGAATATAGGGGAGTAACCCCCCCCCCTCCCCCCGGGCTTTTCTCTCTCTTCTCTCTCTTCTCTCTCTTTTCCTGTACTGGCTCGCCTTAGTCTTCCTCGTTTTCAACACAGGATACCCATCCCTATCGAACAGCAGCAACAAAAGCCATAGCGAGTAACCTTCAGAGGCTAAGCAAAAGGAAAGTAGCGAGAATTCTTCTTGCCACTTTGACTCATGCGAACAGTCTCACAGCAACTAGACGTCTTTATATTGGCTGTATTGTTTTCCCATTTCAAACCACGAGTCATTCCCTAGAGTATCATTTCTTTGTTTAACGAGTTGCCCATGAGAAAACACATGAATATGGATACAACTCGAATTTTTCCCCATTTGAGACCACTTGTCATTCCCTAGATTGATATTGCTTTCTTTAAAAGTTGCGCATTTAACAAGACGCGCAAATATGGAAACAACTTAATAAAGAATCTCATTCTCAAAAAAATGACACGTTTTCTGAAATGGGAAACCATTGCTAAAGGGTCTATTAGACAGAGTACGGAGTTGATTGACATCAGCTAAACCAATCATTGCGGTAAATAATAACCTTTTTAAAAACCGTCATACCTTTCTTTGGCGAATTTCCTGATAAGAGACGGTTGCTTGGCCATGCGATCAGACATTTCATCCATGATTTCACTCCATTCACTAACTGAACATGGGGGGAAATATAGAACAATGAGTTGTACTTTTAAAGTAACTTAACGCCATAAAAATCGATCCTTATTATTATTTTTCCAATATATTTTACATTATAACTTCAATTTTGCATCTTCCTACTGATTGATTGATTTAAGAAAGGTAGTGTCACTACACATCATAGTTGAAAAACAGGAAATTCCAGATGATTGATAGGCATCAGTATTAAAAGATCAAAGTTCCCTTTTCTTACCTTGGTTTTCGAGCAGTTGAATTTTTGTTTGAAGAACACCCACTGCAAATAATTCAAAAAATTGCATTATTAGTAGTCATGGTAGCAGTTATTTAGCAGCAATAATAACTGTAAAAGAAGTATAAGTCGTAACCAATAGCTGAGCATTTAAACTCATCACTGGTATATGAACTTGGCGTTAGGTACTTGTTCGGTGGGATGAGAGGGGCCTGGCACACAAAATCGCGGTAACCATGGCAACCCTGTCACAACTCACCGTGCACCTGTCACACTGATAATCTGGTCAGTGGTACACTTACATATATATAGCTACCATTGGGAGGGAGGGCAGAAAAAACAACAAATATAGCGTTTAGCGTGTGGTTGCCAGAGGTTAGCGATAGCGAATATCGTAATGCAAACGATTGTTGCCGAATTCAAGGTCAATCTAGCGTGATTACATGGATAGCGTGCGATCGAGTTGACCCGTTGTAATCAAATAGCGTTGATTGCAGTAGTAGTAGTAGTAGCAACAGCAACAGCGCAGCAGCATCGGCAGCAGAAGTAGTAGTAATAGCATTTCTACCAAACAGTTATTAATTAAATAATTTTTTTTACTGCTTTAATGGTTTCTCTCTTTTCTCAGCAAACCGGAAAAAAAGTTTCATTTTAACTACCTCATTTAAACTTATCATGATAATTTAGTCTTACATGAAACATTTGCTAAAGAAGTTCTGTTTCCTGTCTTCATAGATGGGCTTTGCTGTAAGGAACTTGGTTGCCATGGTGATTGCAAGATGTCTCTTCCTCCTAATAACGACATTACTCAAATTAGCATTCTTATTCTTTTTGCAGTGCTTCCTAATCACAAAGTCACATGATTTTCTATCGCAACAAAATAGGGTTTTAGTGGACATCAATCAAAGTGTTTCCATGACACTGTCAGAAAACAAAGTTTTTAAGGGTAGTCGACATGCTCATGCAATTAGATTACGCTATTTCATGTATTTGTCCTATAATAGTTGGTGTTATGAGCTGAACTCTGTCTACTTACTAACATCACAGTGTCATTTTATTTATTCATTCATTCGTTCATTCAATCATTCATTTATCCATTCATTCATCCATCCATTTATTCATTCATCCATCCATCCATCCATCCATCCATCCATCCATCCATCCATTCATTCATCCATCCATTCATTTATTCATTCATTTATTTCTGGTGTTGATTGTGGATTTTAACTCCTTGATTTGGGGAGGGGGGGTATAGTCACATGAAGAGGATGAATCTTTTGTTTACCACTCGTATCAGCATCAATAGATGACATGGATATGTCAAACTTTGCCTTATCATCTGCTATAGATGGCCTGGTAGGTGCACCATTATTGAGGCTTGTTCTCATTGGTGTACTGAAATATTCATTTGTAACGCCTGTAAAAGTGGGCAAAAGATGAGCATGTAAAAGATGCTTAGGTTTTTGGCTTCCATCAGTCAAAAAATACTAAACTCAGACCAGTGGTGGGTCCAGAACTATACTATTTAATGGGGTATGAGAGGAGTAGAGGGTAGTATGGGGGGGGGGGGGGGGGGGGGGGGGGAGGGAGGGGGTGGCTGTTACCTAGAAAGGCATTGCATATAATCCTTTTTTGGTTTTATCTTTTCCTTTATTTCTATCAATACATTTTCCAACTCCAAAGAGGAAAGATGCTTAGATTTTTGACTTTAATCACATTAAAAAAAAAAAAAACTAAACTCAGACCAGTGGTGGGTCCATAACTATTTAATGGGGTAGGAGGGGGAGGGGGGATGGAAGGTGGGTGGCTGTTACCTAGAAAGGTATTACATATCATCCATTTTTGTTTTTACCTTATCCTTGATTCCTATTGAATGCCAATCAAACTGACCATATTAAGCTGAATGCATTCTGATCATGAGCGATAATTATTCCCAAAACTCAACAGGCATTCTCCCACTGACAGTAACATATTTATTGCTAGCGATAGAAATGCATTCAACTTGTGGTAAGTTTGATTGGCGGTAGCCAATATGCCAAATGGCTCCTAACATCTGGAGGAATAGAAATTCAATAAGGAATCGAAATCACTAGTCAAGAATCTTCCCATCCCAAAATTTTATCATGACACCTAATTATGTTTCAGGTGGATTGTTTTAGATCTAGTTGTTATTTACCTGTTTTGCCGATTCCAGGCCCAGTGACATATTGTGGCATATGCTGATCCACATGACCCCCTGATGACATAGTACTGTTAATGAGAGTTGATCTACTGGGTAGTTCCTTGTACTCTGTTCTACTGGATACTAGGGAAGACACTTCTGAGACATCATCTGGGATATTATCAGCCAAAGGTTCACCATCTCGTACTGGAGGCTCGTTCAACGGTAGGGTTGGAACCACTTCACTCAGATTACCAGTTGCTAAGATATTAGGACCTCGCTGGAAGATTAAAGCTTTACCATTCATTTCTTCTTTAAATTCATTCAAGGGTAGGGTTGGAACCACTTCACTCAGATTACCAGTTGCTAAGATATTAGGACCTCACTGGAAGATTAAAGCTTTATTATTCATTTCTTCTTTAAATTCATTCAAGGGTAGGGTTGGAACCACTTCACTCAGATTACCAGTTGCTAAGATATTAGGACCTCGTTGGAAGATTAAAGCTTTAATATTCATTTCTTCTTTAAATTCCTTCAAGGGTAGGGTCAGAACCACTTCACTCAGATTACCAGTTAGTAAAATAATTAGGACCTTGCTGGAATATTTAAGCTTTACCATTCATTTCTTCTTTAAATTTCAAAATTCATTTTAGGTTCAACCAAATTTAACTTCATTTTATTATATGTGTCGATCATTGGATCCTTTATCTTCTCAAAGTTGAAACTCTGGCCAAGTTCAAGACACCAAGTTCAAAAACCTTCATTTTTTATGAGCTGCTCTATGTCAGAGCACTGCTATTAGATTGGATTGAAATTTAGGAGGTAATGTTTTGAGGAATGAAAACCAGAGTCTAAGCAACCAGGAAAAACACAGCCTAAAGGTAGTTCTAAACCCAACAATTAACTTCTATACGATGTTGAGACCAGGAGTCAAACTTTATTCTCCTTGGTCACTGTTTGCTTTTTGGATACCAAACAGTGAACAAAGGAAATATAGGGACTGTTCACAGTCTACACTTGAGACCAGAGGGAGGTCAATCAAATTCCACATTCAATAAAATGAGCCTGTACTTACATATATAGCATTGATTAACCAATAAAATAATAATAATAATAATATTTTTATTTAAAGTTGGTGTCAAATACAGTGTTAAGGGCTGGTTTCCAATTTGGCCCACTTTTCACTCACACACACCACCACTATATTAAATATTCTATGCACACAACAACTCACAAGTTGATTTTTACAGAGGGAGGAAACTGGAGAAATGTTAACCAAACTCAATTCAGATATGGTGTTTGCAGGGCTTAAACTAGTAACCCAAACCTTTGGAACCACAGTGGTGAGAGAGGATGCATCAGCAGTGTACGCCCACCCAATCCATCCTTAAATAGGAAATCTCATTGGAATACAACACCATCAAGATTGCAAATAGCTGTAAATATCTTACCATTGGACTAGTGGTCTTCATGGAATCTTGATCTAGCCACTTATGTAGCTGCTTGATAGATCCATCATGTGACTGCATGCCAGCAGAGTAAAAACTGTTAATATCATCAACTCAAAGACAGTCCAGGGGAAGATTCAGGATTTTTTCAATGGGGGTAGGGGGAGGTGCAACATCCGTATTCTTTGTTAGTCTGTTCTATTGTATATTGTGTAGTCTTTTGTTGTGGCTACTGAATTACCTAGACTGTGTATTCTACACAAAGATAGAACCATGCTTTCTACATGGTCATTTATATGAAGATTCCTGGACCTACCCTGGGGGGAGGGGTTGGGGGTCAGTCCCATACACAGCCTAAAATAAACTGTGCTAGCAGCAAAGTAAGGCAGCTTTTTTTCAAAAAAATTCAACCTGTTTAAAAGCTATCGCAAAATAATACCAGAATATTACTTAGAAAGTCCAGAGCCTACAGTCTAAGAAACAAAAACTTTTTCATCGAAAAACATACGAATAATACGAAAAATAAGGTATCAATTGATAACGAAATTATTCAGTCACCCACTTACAATATTGCATTGAAAATTGAATTAATTCAGCTATTAATTAAGTAACCACACATACATGCGATTATTAGTTGTTCGGTAACTATAAATACAACGACCGACAATAGCCGGAATGTAAATAAATGAAGCTGAGAGACGCTAAACCACGGGGTAGACGCGCTGTGAATAATTCTTACACTGTGTTGTACGGTGTTTAGTCAAAAATAAAAACTCTAGAGAACTTCGATAAAATTCACTTCAATTAAAAACAAAAAACAAAAACAAAAAACGAAAAGAAATCAAACATAATGGATGAAAATAAGTCTTTGATTATTCTCTTAATTTCAAGCCTTTTCTTTTTGATTTTTTTTTTTTTTCTGGTCTCAAATATATAAGAGATAGTTTACCTTCAATACGTCCATTATGACCCTCAAAGTAGTCATGATGCTCTCGTCCGCTTGAGAAGGGATTTGAGGAGCCGATTGACCGCTTCGCTGAGACATCTTGATCTCCCAGATCAAGCTAGCTAACCGTCGCTAGGTATAATAAACATCAGAATAAATAATTCAAAGGTTTTTGTGGTATTTGTTTGCTTATACACTTCAAATATGGCGCCTTGAATCAAATATGCAAAACATCTGCAGACAGGAGCCTCGCTTCAGCAGTAGGCCGGGAGGGGGGAGGGGGGAGGGGGGTACTCCGCCAGAATTTGGGTAGGGGTGTTCCGCTGGGATTCTAAAAGATTCCTGTTTGTGATAAAGAAACTCAAATTTGTGGACCCTGTTTATGACAAAAGATATACTAGTAATTTATTGCACTGAGTTCCGATTTTAATTATCATGTCATAACCTCCCCCCCCC